GAGGTTAAAAGAATATCTTAAATTAAAAAAAAAAAAAAAAAAAAAATTGGCTACCTTTTTAATATTTATAAAATTCTTGTAACTTTCGGAATTGGAAATGCTTATTCTCAAGCTTCCCTTTTCTACACCAAGCATTTTCGATAGACTTTCATTGTATCTCAGTTTGCATTTTTTATTAATGATACGCCCATTGGATCATTGTGTTTTTTAGAGAACAAAAACAATGGCCTATGTTAAATTAGAGCCTATGTGAAAGGCTTTATTTAAATTATATATACTTTGCTCTTTTGCCTTTCGAATCGTATTGAATTGAATTCATCCCCTAATGATAGTTATGTATCGATAGCAGAGCAGTAAAGTATCGATAGTTCCTTAAAGTGCTATCTCCTCCAAATCCTAGTGGCCTATTACCATAGCTCAAATTTCCAGGTTATTATACATATTTCACGATTGCACTTTGAGGAATATTTTCACCACACAACTCTTTCGACTCTCAAACTTTCAGTGCTTCGTGTTTTTATGACACTTGTCATGAGTACAACTAGTCCGGAGTCTTGTCTAGCTATAAAATAATAACACTTCGCTGAAAAGGTGTTTTTGTAACATGTACAAAATGTGTAAGAAACAAGTTCTTATTATTTTTAGCGAATTGCCTAAGAAATATAAAAAAAAAAAGAAAACATTTTGTAGACCACACACAAAGTTAGTTTTCATTTGTAACTCTTAAAAGCGAAAATTTGTAAAGTCATAAAGGTAAATAGAAACTTGTGTCTGGTAAAAGCTAGAAAAAAAGACGCAATTACAAGCCCAAGCGACTGAAGTTGAGGAACTATTTGAAGATCTTCGACCGCCGCCTAATAGGGAATAGCTGCTGACAGAGGTGTGGCAAAGACTCTAATCCAGAAGCCAAAAAATTGAATTTCTATAAATTTCAATTGGCACGCCTTCCTTGTATTTTATATACCCATATATATATGTATATGTATATCTCTGTTGGCAACTCGTTTAATGTCTTCATTTCAAGTTAATTTTCACTCGCTGTGGGTGTTGCGGCTCACACAAATTTATGTGTGACAGTGAAAGCCATAGAAATATGAGGCACACCGTATGACAGCCTTATAAATCAACTCGAATGTCCCATGGAACGCACCCTTTTTTGGTAATGCTCATTGTTGTTGCTGTTGCTGTTGTTGTCGTTGTCGTTGTATAGTCCGAAAGAAAAGGATTAAATGCTCATAAATGACCCCCGGCAATAGTTTGCTGTCCCGTCTGTATGTGTATATGTTGTGTGTGTGGTCTTCCATATAAATGATATAAAAACTTGTATTTCCAGGCAATGCGAAAGTTGACCAAACAATTGAAAAGCAAGTAAGAACTTTATTGTAAAGCGCTACTGACTGCATAATACCCGTTTCCAGTTCAGAAGACAACGAAACTTAAGTTTTATGGGATTACATATATACAGAAGAAGAATAGTGAAACAGCTTAAAAATTTAGTTAGGTCCAACAATGTTTAAAGTCGATTTAATTGTCAAATAAAGATTTTGAGTCATTCAGAAGGTATTTATAAAAAACTTAAAAATCCATATATCTATTCGCCATAACCAATAGGAACTTATTTGATCAAGCTTTGAGATTATAGCAAAATAGCTGCGGAATTTCGAGAAAAGTCCAATTGAAAATGTTATAGCATAGGTACGCAACATTGTCATCTGCAGTTGGATATGTATGAGTATATACTTAAATGTAATAGTATCCAACGCCAGTTGATGGTTGTAGAGTATTTCTAGAATAGCCACGTTTCAAATTATTAGATATCCTGCGTACAATGTAACTGTTATTTCTTTAATATATTTGCAGAAAACGAATATACTCATCTTACATTGTGCGCAAGGTATAAGTAACAAATGTAAATTTTGTTGTAAGCCATAACAGGGATCTGATATCAGATATGCCGTGGAAATATTTATAAATGGGCCAGACATTCAGGCAGGCTTTACATATATGTAGTTATTTAGGCTCATGAATTTACTTCAATAAATAAGACCAGGTGGATTACTTTCAATAAGCATTGGAGGCAATACATGAGCGTAAATGAAATTAAATACTTAATGAATAAAAAATAATTATTAATTTTTTTTTATATTTGCAGAACTTGAAAATTACTTTTAGATGTGAATATTTGGAAAATGAGTACAAAGACGGAGAGGTAACAACCAAATTTAGTAAACTAATTATAAAAATACTAAACATTAAATTTATAAACAAAAATAATATACAAAATACTAGTTAAAATATCAGATTAAAATACCAAATATAAAAGTAATTATAAACTTGTAATTAGTTCACACTCTAGTAGTTTTCCATARTATTTAAATTACAGTGTTAAAAAAAAAAAAAACTCGTCACCCTCTGAAATTTTCACGTCATGTTAATTGACAAAAATTTTGGCGCATAGCTAAGAATTAAACTAGCAATGCGAAATAACTGAAAGAGGAGAATAGAAATATGTTTAGCCATTTAGCACTTTGACAAAAGTCAACAACAAAAGGCCATTAAGTAAATTTACATAAATCAAAATTATGTTTAGCCACGCCAAAAGACAATACAAATCGATCTACGGAAGGGCATTGAATCTTAGACAATTCAAAACTCTTATCCACAGCATTTGTCGGATATTATTTTTAAATAGCTAAAATCAACAGACTCTGGCGACTAGGGGGGGTTACCCAGAATTTGTATAAGTCTATCGAAAGGTGTTGATAATTTATTATTATTATTAGCATRGCATTGTTATGGCCCTTTGTTTAGGGCTGCGACTCGCCTTATAAGAATCTGAGGTTAGCTAAACTTGACAGCAAATAAAAATAAATAAATAATAAACTATATTTGTAATATGATCTGCCCAGACATTGGCTGATCGAATGACAGTTGAAATATCCAATCGAAAAAGAGTCTGCCTCTGTCGTTTATGTCGAGCAGAGTGTCTGGCGTCTCGACACTTAATTTGACATATCCAAAAATCAGATATCTTGTTTACAGAAAATTTGTAATTTTTCCCAAAAAAAAAAAAAATATATAGAATAAAAAAATGGAGCTGGCGCAACAGTACTCAAATATATCTGAAGAAGTCATGGAATATCTGTTCGATCAAAAGATACGGGAACGTGATCTAATTGCCGAAAAGGAGGAGCTCAAGCAGCGCATGAACAAGATCGAGGAGCACTTGGTTCTGCTGCAAAATCGTGACGATGAGCTCACCTGCATGATTGCCGTAGGTAATCTCTATCAGCTGAGCACCGTTAAGCTCGTCCGAGAGGGTCTTCTGGCCAGCCTAACGGCCAGCATGCAACCATATCTGAAACTGCATCGGAAGCTGCTGCGCCTGCAACAACACATCCGGGAGGATCACAGTGTCCTGTATGAGAATCTTCTCAGACATCCGAGTACTTAATGCAATGCACCTTATAAAAGATGAAGTTTTGGGTAAATAAATTTAGTTGAGATGAAAGTCTGTTCTGTTCTGAGCTTGGCCATGTTTTGTTTTTATGTTCTGTACTCCAAGCACGACCAATAAAATATGTATATGTAATGTTATTCATATATATATGCATAATTTATCCAGATTATCTTTTCGTAGAATTTCATCAATTGTAAAGATCATCTCAGTGTCAAAAAACCTACGAAATTATCTCCAACATCCCACGATAATTTTCAACTGCTTTTCGGATGAAGTTTTTTTCTTGATGTAATTTTCTTGGTGAGTTGGCGTTGAAGGGGCTTCATCATCATCATCTCTAGATAGAGGTCCGACCGCGTTGACTTGTCATAATTAAATGTGTAATATTTGTCTACGCTTTCGACACCTTTTAGCCCCCTCTGCCGCCCATTTCGTTCGGCTGCTCAACGAGCCGTGAGCTCTGAGCCGTAGCCGTGAGTCGCGCACGCGCTGACTACATAAATTTGGAAGGGGAAATAGCAGCATACGAGCATGGGGTATGTCCGGATCGTGTAAATTATAAACAAATCATGCACATTTCATCAGCTCGGGGTCTATGCCTCGGCAATGCAACATGGAACGCGTTCCGCTTGCTTCGTTTCAAAAGCGAAAAGTGCGTCGGCTTTTTTTTCCACATTTTTATAAAACTTTGTTTGTTCCCTATTGTAGTTTCCCAAAGCTTTGTGTGCCTCATTTTCATGATGTATGCTTTCAACTTTCGTTCGGCTTTTTATTTTTCTCTCTTTCCTTTTCACTTTTTGTTTTGTTTCGTTGTTTTTTTTTTTTTCTGGATGCTGCGATTACATTTCGCTGGCACGTGCGCTTACCTTATAATGCCCATGCGGAAATTTACAAGAGTATTTGAGATGTAGAGATTTATATCTAACAGACGTATAAAATGTATTGTACCTCATAAAATAAATATATATGTAGAATATATAATTTTGTTATACATTAATAAGTAATTTCCATTTTCCAAGTCTGAGATTTTATATCAGCTTATTTTATATCAGCGTAGAACATCATTTTCGAAAAGTAGTTACACATCGAAATTAATAGAGTATGAAAGCTTACCTAGGATTATTGACACTATTATGCCAAAATGTATTATTAATTAAGTATAAAATTGATTTGATATAATTAATTATTAAATTTTCCACTGGGTGTGTGTAATACAACATTTGCTTATATTTGTCAGCCGTTTTCTCGGCTTTACAGCTCCATCAATTTTATTTAAGCAGAAATATAAAAACTACGTGCTTTATGAATTTTATTTATTGTTTGGGTCTCTGTCGAGCCCTTTTGGCTCGTGCTCAAAACTTTTGTTAACCAGTGAGATTAATGGGCCCGATTAGCATAGGTAAATATTACGCAAATTATGTGCCAAGTGTGCCACACTACAACAACAGCAACGACTACAGCAACGACAAATCGTGATTCAATATTAGATTTTTGGGGCGGGTAAATAATAGTTAGTGAATATTGCAGCCAGACAAGTGCACAAATGGCCGCACAAAGGAGTTAAATTGTGTCTACGTTAATTAAAAAACCACACGAAAAATTTGCATACAAGACGAAATTGGCCACAAAAATTGAGTTTGTCTGCGAATTTGAACCGCCAGCCGGCGGCCAATTGGCGTATTTTTTGTTTTTTGCTTTTTGTGATTTGTTTTTTAGTTTCTCAAGCGCTGTCACTGTCAACTGTCAGTGCAAAATCAAACACATAAATTCCACACATGAAAAAAATCTCTGTAATTGCTTAAATAAATACACAAGAAGATTGGCATTCATTCTGCCCGAGGCAAGCTATTGATTTGATAATAGATAGCTATATGGATGTATACCATATTGTGTAGAAATATGATGGGGGAAACCCGTTCTTTAGATCGTCACTGTCCCCTCTTTCTTGCACGTATGAAAATCGCATAGAAAGGCGATCGGCTGACATCAATATACGTTCAATGGCAATTGACAAATTAAAAGCCAGATTGATAAAATATCAAGCTGTGCCATCTTTGTCACAGCGTCTAATTTGATTCAGATTTATCAATAGACATCTAAATATCATAGTATATAGATATATTATGTGTAAATCACGATCATCTATTATCAGTAACTTTCATAGCCAAATTGTCAAATTTTCTTTGCCACCTTTAACTCTTTATAATATTTATCTATGAAAATCGCATAGAAAGGCGTTCAGGCATCAAATATGGCTCACCTCCATATAAGTTCAATGACATATTTATAATACCAGACATTAAATGTCAGCCCATCATATCAATTATTTAAGCTACCACTCACCTGTCCATACAGATTCATTCATTAAAAGTGTAGAAGAGGTGGGATTCCAGGAATTTCAGCTGAAAAGAATCCAAAGAAGACCAATGCGAAATTTAAAAAATTGAATACATTTAAAAAAAATACAACATAGTGATAAATAGCTTTTACCAAATCGAATTCGGTCAATGGAATAATTTAGTGGACTAGCATAAATAATGGATCTCTAGGCATAGAGACGAGCTATTTACCATGCCGAGGGCCGTAACGTGTGCCACTTGCTGTTCGCCCCCGTATAATGTGTGGCACGCTCCCCCACACTCACACACACACACACAGCATAAAATAACGAAAGATTGGCTTAATACCATAATGGTGTCATTTTGATATGCGATGTGCTGCCAACGCCAATGACGCCCCCGCAGTGCCACGATCTTCGTAGTTGGCCTAATCTTTGTCTTAGCAGAGCTCTCGAAATCCACAAGACGTATAAGACGTGAGTTTAAACTCATTAATACAGCCAATCCAATACGATCTGATCCGTCGAGATAGACGCCGTCCTTGATTTATATACGTATATGTGCATATATCCAATGCATTGCACGGTGGGCCAATAGTATAGTATAGTCTTTATTTTATACTAATATTTTAGCTCTAATACTACAAAACATTTATTTTTCCAGAATAAAATAAAAATAAAAATTAGAAATTCTGCAGTCGATTTGCAGCCATGGCAATAGAAGGTTTTATTTCTTAACAGCTTATGCGATTCTGTTAGATTCCTCTACTGTTAAATTAACAGTTCTTAATTGCACTGTTCGCTAACATAAACAATAGTGTGTATTATAAGCATTAGCATTAAAGTGAAATTTGCTTCCACTGTTAACTTAACATTTCTCTAACAGCGCAGAATCTGGTAACATAAGCTGCGTTCAAAAATAGTTTAAAACTGAGATATTCAATTCAAAAGCAGATAACAAAAGCAGACTGCCTGTAATCTGTAGCTTAAATGCGCAACACTAGTAAGAGATGTTTTCACATCACATTGCGATTTTCTCAAAAAGTTTTATTGATACTTGGACGACGCCCACTGTACTCCGCTGCCGCTCCGATGTGCAGCGCCTCCAAAATCGTAACCCCAGGGTCTGCGTTGGTGTTATTTCGGAGGTGCAGTTGCCGCATTAAGTTTTGCCTCAAACACAGCGATTTTAAACGGATTTATGCATCCATTGCCAGATTTCATACAAATTTCCTAAAGGGTTTCGTTTTTCACTCTTTGCTGATGCTGATGCAGTTGTTGTTGTTACTGTTGCTGTTGCTTTTCTTGTGTTTTTTGTTTCTTCAACTTAACATTGCGTGGGCCAGGCTAGTGGAGCTTTTCATTTCGCTGCAAACGGCTGTTGCAGCCATAAATTGTAGCTGTTGCTGATGTTGTTGTTGTTGCTGTTGGTGGTGTTGCATGTGGTTTTGTGGTTTTTTGTTGCCGTTCGTGAAAGTTGCGTAAATCGCGTGAAGTAGAAGAAAAGTTCAATACTTTTCAAAATAATTGTAGAAAGTTTATTTTTTTATATGCATGTATTGTATATCAGTTACCCCCTGCATATGCTTATGCAACAGCGCACAAAAACAAAATTATTATCAGAGATTCGATTGAAACCTAATTGTGTATCAATTGTGTGGCTAAACAATTTAATAGACATTGACATGATACGATAACGAGAGAGGGGAAATTTCAAAGAGCAGATAGTCAAATGGGGTCGAAGTCTTATACATTGAGCAAGCTATAATGATGTGAGAGGCACATATTAAATAGCAGTGAGAGTCTTATATGGTATTTAACTCTTTTGGTTAAAGTGTTATAAAGACACTATTACTGCTATCAAAGAACTTAGTCTACGCATTTGAATAGCACCGCTTAACTTCGTATATAAGTATATAAAGAGTTGCTTTACTATTCCCTTACAATATTGCGCTACAAAGCAGAGAGAAGGGATTTCTGTTTATCCAGAACTGTCATACAATTTCCCTATAATACTGTGCTACGCTCAGTACAGAGAAATTTAACAGCGCAAAAATACTCTGCTACACAGTGTACTCCATTACATTCAGTAAATAGCCAAGGTAGATCATTTATTAAAGTCCTACCTCAAGATCCGGGTACAAAATTCCGTTTTGTACGAAAAGTACTTACGATGTAGGACACTAATTACGTACTTCATATTTCATATTTCGGTGGCAATAATAAATATGTACAGCAGATAATAACACCTCACGTCCATATCGCGATTCCCACTGGACTTGTGTGTAATACATCCATCAAGATATTATGCGTGAGGCCCCACGAGTGTCGCCGCTTGACCCACATACCAAGTATGTAAGAAGTAATCAGGCGACGGTGGCAGTGGCTGCTGCTGCGGCTGCTGGCCAACTCCCCAAATGAAACTCGATTCAAAATCAGATGCGAATTGGCAAAAAGAAAAAGAAAAGAAAACCACAAATCGAGCGACTGCTGAATGCTGACCGCTGACAAAATCGGAGCGCGTCGCCCAAAAGGAAACCAGTCGACAGCTTTACGATGGGAACCAGCGTACAAAATAAACAGACAACATATTGAAAATTTCGAAAACTGTGTTGACGTCCGCCACAGCAGCAATTAGGCGACTCTTATCAATGTCGCTCAGTCTTGCAAATAAATCTCCACGATCCACTACTGAACGTTACGCTCCAAAGTAACT